AAGTCACGTGGCCAGTGGCACCCCCAGATCCCTCCTCAGTCTCCGCTGCAGACAGCTGTATGTCACAGGCTTTATTTGCAGATATTCTTTAGAGAGGCAACAGATTCAAAGTCAAAGCACTAACAAGTCAGACAATTTAAGATGTCCAAGGTATGTGTCAAATGGAACTTACTTTCCTCTACAACTGGGGAAAAGGGCTTTTTAGGTTGGGGGCCACTGACCCACAAAAGCAACAGGCAGGGGCTGCAAAAGTTAGAGACACCCCATTCACATGGCCCCCAACTCAGAAGGGGAAAGACTCTCCACACACCAGAGCCTAGAGGGGCCCAGACTAGTAGACTGTGTACTCCAGCCCTGCTGGAGGGGGGCTGGAGTACCACCATGAGCTCCGCAATGCTGGGGGAGCTCCAAGCCTCAGGGGTCAGATCCAGGCAAGCCAAGGGCCACATTCAGCCCCTGGCCTTTGGCTGTAGTGCAGGGGTGGGGAACCTTACAGAAGATTCAGAATCCATGGACAAAGGCAGTACATGCTATTCAAGGAAGAAGGAGGGAAGTGACAAAGTTAAAATCCTCAGTGAGATGCACGCAGGTCAGCCATTACCAGCTTGACGTGTGAGAACACTAGCCAGGCTGAGGATAAACAAAGCTAGCCAGCCTGGCGCAGCGCCAATCTGCATTATGGCCAGGCGAAAAAGTCAGCTAATCCACAGGAAGCCTGTAAACAGCTCTCCACAAGAGCTGCCGGAACTCAGCCACCAGAGGCTTCCTACCCGTTAGAGGCCTTTTAAAGTTTGGCATTGGAACATGAAGCACAAGATTACAGACAAGCCCAGCGCCAGAGTGAAAAGAGAAAGGGCGAGTCGGTCAATTAAACCTGGAACTTGTTGTTTCAGTGCATAGCCCCACCTTGGAACAAGAAGAGAGAGAAAGGCAGTTTCCTTTGCTGTAGTTGCTCAGTGTGTTCAGCTACCCGTTAGAGGCCTTTTAAAGTTTGGCATTGGAACATGAAGCACAAGATTACAGACAAGCCCAGCGCCAGAGTGAAAAGAGAAAGGGCGAGTCGGTCAATTAAACCTGGAACTTGTTGTTTCAGTGCATAGCCCCACCTTGGAACAAGAAGAGAGAGAAAGGCAGTTTCCTTTGCTGTAGTTGCTCAGTGTGTTCAGCATAGCAGTTCAACCAAGCATTGCAGCCAGTCAGGGAAGCACATCAGTTAGACTAGGTGATCTGATGCATGTCACAGGACAGGGAGTTTGGCATCGGATATGGTGGACTAGACTCTTCACCAGGAAATGCAAGCTTGCACATAGGGACACCAACTGCCAGGACCCTTAGCAAGGAAGGTGTTGGGAGGGCAAAGGGTTGCTCCACATTCCCAGGAGGGGCAGGGTCTTGGGCAGAAGGGGTGGGGCTGCTGGCAGGAAGTCCTCAGCACACCCCACCCCCTCCTACCCACCCAGCCAGCCCTTCACCCCACTTGGAATGCATTGCCTGGGGCTGACAGCAAATTAAAGACCTATCACAGCTGCAGCATCCTGGAGCTCCAGGCTCTTTTGAATCACCAGGCCCGGGGCAGTTGCCCCAACAGCCCCAGAGTAGACAGCACTACATCCCACCCTCACCCACATGTCAAGCCCGTGTGGGCTGCACAGGTTTCTCAAAGGAGGATCTGACTCAGTCAGCTCACTATGAGTCCATATGGTCCCCAATCCACTCAAGTCAAATCCATTGTTACTACAGCATTTGAAAGCTGCCCTATGCCTGGCATCGGTAGCCTGAAAAGTCACACCGCATAAAAAGCGGAGACAAGTTCGTTTACTCAAAGGGAGCCCTACAGGCAGGGAAGGCTGCTCTGTGATGGTGGTCAGTATGGTCATGAACACCAGAGTTTGACGGATACCAAGTTGGCAGGGTCTGGGAGAAAGGAAACCTGAGTGCTTATCCCCCAAGATTGTCTGAGTATGGGGAAGAGAAGACAGTTCTGTGATGTGTACATTGTCAAGTACTCTAGCCCTGCAGAGGTAGGGTTCAGTGGTGAAATATCAGTTTGATATTTGCAAGCTGGAGGAGGAGACAGTCTAAACGGTATGATTACAGTTCTGTCAGATCTAGAAACATTTCGGTAGCCCAACACGTTTTTCTATACACAAGTAACCAGCATGTGGGATCGTTGAGACAGTTCTGTGATGTGTACATTGTCAAGTACTCTAGCCCTGCAGAGGTAGGGTTCAGTGGTGAAATATCAGTTTGATATTTGCAAGCTGGAGGAGGAGACAGTCTAAACGGTATGATTACAGTTCTGTCAGATCTAGAAACATTTCGGTAGCCCAACACGTTTTTCTATACACAAGTAACCAGCATGTGGGATCGTTGACTACTGCTACTCATATTGAGTTAGCAGAAGTGGCAGAGGATCAGAATCAGAGACCCCCTAGAAAAACACAGTCAGCATAGTAAGAATTAGATATATTGCTCATGGGGCAAATGACATGCATGAAGTCCTGCTGCCAAGGAGCAGAGGATTTCAAAGGTCTCTTCTCTCTACTGTGAGCAACATAGCCAGAGACAGGGAGAAAGGGAACTCAAGACCTGCCTACACATCAGCATCCCTCCCCCCATGCCATACACCTATGGTAAAGAGAACACCATGGCCATTCCAACTAGTTCACTGGACAGTGTCCGGGGATGTGGCTGGAGAGAAATATGCAGCCTCTCACCTATCTGCAACCAGCACTAAATCAGTGTTCTCATTGTTTATTCCTGTGCATGAAGTAAGCGGTACTTCCCCAAACAGAGTCAAACTGCAACCTAATTTCAAAGTCCTAGCATTGGGATATAGTGGTGAGGTGGTGTACAATCACTCTAAGATTTTCCCCAAGTTACCGCCACCTTCGCCTGTAAGTGGTGACCCTCGCAGTACAGGCTAAACACGTTGGTGGAACAACACAGGGCAAGAGTCACATC